AGGTCGGCAGAGCATGGCCGGCTGCTGAACAACAAACAACACAGCTACATGCATGTTCCAAGTGTGCCATAAGCTAGAGACCATTCCCAAAGCTGCTGCTTATATATGGGAAGCAGATCACATACCCAAAGCAGCTATTCAGCTGCTTGTGGTAGATCCCACTATGGAGTTGATTGCCAGTCTCATCATGGGGAATAATTACCACCAGTTGCCCAGCCACTCGGCACCTGTCCAGATCTTCACTGGGTGGTACCTATACAGATCTCTTCACTGGGTGACTCCAGTCCCCTAGTTCCTGAGTGGCAACCTCACCCCCTTGGCCTGGCAGACCCTGTTCCTCTCCCACTTGGGCATGGCAGCCCTGCCCCCTCACTCTTGGGCAGCAGCTATGGCTCCATCCCACTAGCTCACATGAATGAGCAGCCCCACACTCCAGAACCAAGTTGGTGAAGATCTGGCTCTGAAACCTAGGGGGCTATGATGGTTCCACCCCCAAAGGCTATGGTCCCACCCTTTGAGGCTGAGGCAGCTCTGCTTCCGTTTCCTTGGTCTCTCTGCTTCTTGTGATTAATGCGGAAGGCCACCCACTCCGCAGGAAATCTTCCTGCCCTAAAAACACTCAGCTTTTTTGCTCCGTGGGCTGGCCAACCTGCTACTCCATTTCATGTTGGTCTTCTCTAACAATTAATGCCCGAAGGCAACCCACTCCACCAGGAAGCCACCTACCCAATGGCACTCAGCTTTCTCCTCCATGGGCTGGTAAGCTGCTGTTTAATGCCCGTCTCTAGGCTCTGCTCCTGCCGTGTCTCATGCTGGTCTCTGGGCTTTGCTCCTGCTGTCTCTCATGTCGTATGCCAGGGTCTCTCTGCCAGGGTCTCGGGTCAAGAATGCACTCCACTCCTATTGCCACATTTTAGGTATCTGTCAGAGCAGCACCCCACTCTCTCGGTACCAAATTCTGTTCTGGTTATTTAGTACCGCTCTGACAGGAATATACTGCAAATGGGATAGCCTTAACAAACAGGAGTTTATTCTCTTACAGTTCGGAGGCTTTAAGTTCAAATTCAAAGTGCCAGGCTCTTTCAGCCTTGGGCTTCAGCTTTGTCTCCATCTCCCGGCCCACTGAAGCTAGAGGCTTTTCTTCACTCAGACAGCTGCTGGCTGCTGAGGCTGAAAAACCCAAGGTTGACAAGTAAAAAGGCACAGTCCCGATATTACCACACCACATGGCAGGCCATTACTTCAAGTCCATTGTAGGTCCCAAGGTCGGCAGAGCATGGTCGGCTGCTGAACAGCAAACAACACGGCTACATGCACGTTCCAAGTGTGCCATAAGCTAGAGACCATTGCCAAAGCTGCTGCTTCTATACGGGAAGCAGACCACATACCCAAAGCAGCTACTCAGCTGCTTGTGGTAGATCCCGCCATGGAGTTGATTGCCAGTCTCATCACGGGGAATAACTACTACCAGCTGCCCAGTTATAACTACCACTCAACCAGGCCCAGCCAAGTTGACACAAACATAACCACCACAGGAGGTTAAGTCCCTTGCCTGCAGTTATACAGCAGTCCCACAGTCCTATATCTGCAATTCCCGAACGTCCATACTCTTGGCAAGCAAAAGTTACTGGTGGGTTGATGGCTTTCTTTTCTTGTTAAAGTTTAGTACAAACTTAACTTGACAGCAAAACCTAAACTAATGTAAGGCTTTTTAGAAATGATTTTGTTTATCCCATTTTGATGTGAATATTCATAGATGTTGGTGTAGAAATATTAGTGTGCTTAATTATAAATGTTACTGCCTTGGACCCTACTGGAGGTGGGTGGTATATAACATATATTATATCCAGTATATTCATAGTAGTAGGTCAACCTAGATGTATGACATCTCAAGCATTGCTAGAAAGCTAATGTGTGTTAAAAAATTGCCCAACTCAAAAGAGGTTAGCCAGTACTTCATTGGGTGGGTGGAATGGAAGAGAAGAGAGAATTATTTAAATATTCAGAAAGCAAACCACTGGCATTGAGTCGATTCCGAATCTCAGCGATTGTATAGGACTGAGTAGAACTGCCTCATAGGGTTTCCAAGGCTGCAGATCTTTGAGGAAGCAGACGGCCTCATCCTTCCCCTACAGAGCACTGGTGGGTTCGAACTGGTAACTTTTGGTTAGTAGCCTGTTGCTTTAACCATAGCACCACCAGAGCTCCTTAAATATTCAGAAACAGAGGTAAATATTTCATAGGATTTTGGAGATTTGTGAACTCCAAATTTTTTTCATTGTAAATACATATTAACAAACATTTGCCATTGTAACAATTTTTACATGTATACTTCAGTGACATTAATTACATCACCACTTAATTTATATTTGAAGGTTTGTATATGTCCCAGAAATCATCAATATCTAATCCATTTTTTAAAAAATAGAATTATCACACTTAATAGATTAGATGTGCATACCAAAAGAAACAATACCCTAACTTCAAAGTAAATGTAGAACTTTTCTCTAGTCATGGAATATATCTTCTCTTAGGTAGATAAGATGAAAGTGCCCCAAACACTGTCTTCCATGTTGTGTCCATGTCTTAATAAAGGCATTTGATTCTGTCTACCAAGTCGGAAATAATGTGATTGTGAAGGCAAAGAGCTTAATAAAATCAGATGGAAAATTCATGGGTCTAACAGCACAAAACTAGGCATATGCTTAGACTCTAACAAGATATCTTATATACTTTCTCTGTTACCTGAACTCATGACAGCTGCTCAGTGTTGAGTGTAGTAGCAAATGCAAAGTGCTACAGTGATCACTGGTATCTGGTGCTCTAATTGTCAGTAAATTAGTTAATAAGAATAGCATTGATTGAGTCTTCCTGTTCTCTGGACCCTGTGCTGCACACTTAGCATACTTTAAGCCTATTCAATAGTACTAATGCCTCTGAGGTTATTCTCTCTATCTGTATATATGTATGCATATAAACCAAAACCAAACCAAACTCACTGCCACTGAGTCGATTCCAACTCATAGCAACCCCTCCTTGGGTTTCCAAGGCAGTATCTGTATGGAAGTAGATTGCCCAGTCTTCCTTCTGAGGAGTGGTTTGAACCACCGGCTTTGTGGTTAGCAGTGAAATGTCTTAGGTACTGTGCCACCAGAGCACTCGTGTGTGTGCGTGTGTGTATGTATATATGTGTATATGTATATATATATGTGTATATGTATATATGTATATACACATAAATTTATAACATATAGGTCCCTGGGTTTTATAAATAATTGAGTGCTCAGCTGCTAACTGAAAAGTTGGAAGTTGAAACCCACCCAGAGGTGCTATAGAAGAAAGGCCTGACAATCTGCTAAAGGATTACAGCCAGGAAAACCCAGTGGAGCTTAGTTCTATTCTGTAACATAAACGGGGTCGCCATGAGTTGGAATTGACTTGACAGCAATGGTGGGTTTTTTTTTTTGTTTGTTTGTTTGAAGTAAGCATAGTACTCTATCTGAATAGTTACTTCATAGGGGGGCAGAAGTCGTTCTACGTCATACACATACAAAATGCAATGATGAGGGGAACAACTCTTCTTTGGAGAAGGAGAAACTAAATTGCAAGGGCTTATTTGGGCATTGTGTGGTGCAGGGCCCTGCAGCATGACCGCACCTACTCAGCAGGAATGATATGGATGCCTTGCCCTGGTAACCAACCTGTCTAACAACTCAGGATTGACCGGCTCCCTTCTCCTTCAAAAAACAGAGTGCCTTCCTTAGAAGCTGCACAGTTTTTACAGCCCATGTCCTATTTGTATAAATGTGTGGGCTAGACTATTTACAGCATATCACTGACAGTATATTATTATTGCTAGCTGCCATCAAGTTGGCCCCAGACTCAGCAACCCCATGCACAACAGAATGAAACACTGCCGGGCCCTTTGTCATCCCCCTGATTAGTTGCAGATCAGACTTCTGTGATCCATAGGGTTTTCATTGGCTGACCTTTTGAAACTAGATCTCCTAGGCTTCTCTGGTTCACCTTACTCTAGAACTTGTTCAGCATGATAGCAACATTCAAAACTCCAGTGACAGATGGGTTGTGGCTGTGTTTGGGGTACATTGGCTGGGAATTAAAACCAGGTCTCCCTCATGCAAGACACTGAACCACCAATGTAGTTTCCTTAAAATCTCAAGCTTTCATTCAGGATCATGGGCTTAGTAACCACAGCCAGCTGATGTATTAATACATAGTCATATATATTTTGAAAGCATCTACTGTATCATTACTTCCTACTACAAATTATAAACAAAAGTCTGTACTATTTTAAGAGAGTTGTTAGTCATTATTTTAATGAATGACTAGGAGAAAAGAAAAGAGAGAAAGAATTACTTATATATAACATTTTATACTCTCTACAATCCCTACCCAAACAGTTATCCTTTCCTAATCTCCCCATCCTTGTACCTGACAGTTTTCTATGTGTGGTACATGAGATAAAGACATTGCCTTCTCATTTTTTCTTTTTTTCTTAGTTTATCATCAATCCTTTCTTAAGCTTTGAGACCTTAAAAATTTTTTTCTCCATTTTTCTTCTGTTAGCTGTTAATTTGACTTTGTACAGCATGCCTGTATTATATTGTTGTTGTTGTTGTTAGGTGCCATCGAGTTGGTTTCAACTCATAGTGACCTTTTGTACAAGAGAATGAAACACTGCCTTGTCCTGTGCCATTCTCACAGTCATTGCTATGCTTGAGTCCATCATCGCAGCCACTATGTCAATCCATCCCATTGAGAGTTTTCCCTTTTTTGGCTGACCCTCTGCTTTACCAAGCATGATAACCTTCTCCAAGGACTGATTCCATCTGACAACAATGACCTTCTTATATTGTGATGTGTGGTATTCAGGCATTGGGACAAATTTCAAGGCTTCTTAAAACATGTCTACTCTGTTGGTGGTAGATACTTTAAGATAGAGAAACGAATTATCTTAATAAGAACTTTTTTTCCCCTAGGCCCAAACTAGCACTCTGGAGAAAGATGTGGATATACAAGAATTTAATTTAGAAAAGGTATGTACTTTGAAATTATTAATTTGAAGCTTTTTTTTAATAATATCAAAGAAATTGTATATGTTCAAATATCTAATAGTTGGGGAAATGGTTAGATAAATTATACTACAGTTATTTGATTGAATATCATGCAACCATTTAGAAAGCAGTGGTTCTGAAGACTACATAGGTAACATTGCCAACAATACAATGGTAAGTAAAAAACATAAAAATGTGTATATTCTGTGATTATGTACAAGAAAAAGAGTAGGAGGAAATAATTCAGCTGCTTAAAGCAGATATTGGTGATTTTTCCTTAAAAAGAAAAAAACAAGGATCTGTGTTTGGCACTACTGTGATAAATGGTTTCTGAGTGTGAGAAGGTCCATTTGGAGGGGTACTATTAATTTGAAATTACTACCTTTATGGGTAATAGCTTGTTTTACAGAGCATCCTAAAGTAGTGTAAGTCTCTGCATTTTATTCCTAGTTTTTTCACTGATTTGTACAGAGATAAATGCTTCAGCTTTCTAAATTAAACATGGAAGGAAGCTGCTGTGAGATGATGTAACATTGTAAGAGAACTTCTACCGAGCTCCTTAAACACCATTAATAGGATTATTGCCAGTTGTAGTCATTACAAGCCATGCAAATACATCAAAGTATTTAATGTACAATGAATGTCTAAAATGCTTAGTTTTTAGAGATGTGTTTCTTCTGTGGAATTGTTGGATTGTACTTGAGTCTATGTCTGTTTTGTGTCCACAGGCTCGTTTGGAAGTGCACCGATTTGGAATCACGGGTTATGGAAAAGGCAAGGAAAGGGTACTGGAACAGGAACGTGCCATTATGCTGGGTGCTAAGGTGAGTGGCTGTGTCTGCTTTCCATCACCAGACAGGAGTACAGGAAGGGGCAAGCCATGGGCCAGTCAGAGTAAGGAACACTGGGAAATTTCTGCATGGTAAAAAATAACGATACATGTCTTTTTTTCTTTCACTTCAGCCACCCAAAAATACTTACGTTAATTACAAGGTTTTGCTGGAGCAAATCAAAGAAAAAAAGGCAGCAAAGGAAGAAGAAAAGAGAATGGTAGGTGTAATACTCTTTTCTTTACTATATTACAATGGTACAGAAAGTGAGTATAGTTTACCACAATCTGCCTATCTAACTCTGCCAGAAATCCCAGGAATGCTAGGGTACAATGATTAAATTCTTACCACTTCCTTGAATCAGCTACACTTTTGTATTCTGACATATTTTAAAAAAAGGTTTGCTTTGAAATAAACTCCTGTTCCAATAATGCAAGCTATTTTAACCTTTATTCTCAATCATCTCTGTCCTCAACCATCTTTTGCATTTTGTGTTGTATAACGCACAAGGGCCTGTGTTCCCCTCCTTTGACTAAGCATAGAAGACTTGACATTCCTACTGTCAGTATTGTCTGGAATGGCTTTTCCCATTCTCTAAAGGGTTTCACAGTAAAGCTTTGAGTCTGTTATGTTTAAGGTGCCCACTAAAAAAAATACTAAAAATAAATAATGATATTATGTCAGGTTTTTTGTCACAAACATCTTGCCTTTTTTTTTAATCTGTTATCCATTACTGACACATTATCTTACATTCTGAAATCAGGTCCAAGACACAGATATTTTTAAGAAAAAGAAGAGGAGAGGGCAGGAAGACAGGTAAGTGACACCATGAAGTACAAGAATTGGATGATGTGAATAAGCCTGTTGATGAGTTCTGAAAATAATGCCTTGAAGTTATAGTGTGTCTAGCCTGTTAGAGTACTTCACTGTCTCTCATTTTATTTAAATCAAGCTTCTCAAGGGGACATAGGATTAGTAAAATTGCCCAAGATCAAACTACTCAGAACAGAATTGGGAACCCTCACCACTCTCCCAGTTCACTAACAGAAAAGCTTAGATTGACATTTCCAAAGAGAAGTTGCTGTTTCTTTCTAGGAGAGCCTGCAGGTTAGGCAACATAGTCTGGAGCTGTATTGCCTATTCTTTGTATGGTATAAAATAGGTCCCCATAATTTAGAGTAATGGAACACTGATTTTACTGCTGTATGCCTGTTTCTTAGCTTTTCCTCAAGGTTTTTTTCTTCCCTCTTTGAATGAATGTTTCAGAATTGACTTCTTTTATCATAACTTTTTTTCTTGGACTCCTGGTGAACTTGTACATGCCGTAAGATAGTCACTTGTTCTGATCACATATATTTCTAGTGAGTTCCTACTGTGTGTCAGGCATATAGGTGTGTTAGGTGTTGGGGATATAGCCGTTGTTCTGGTTACCTAGTGCCGCTCTGACAAGAATATACCACAAATGGGATGGACTTAACAAACAGGAGTTTATTCTTACAATTTGGAGGCTTTAAGTCCAAGTTCAAAGTGCCAGGCTTTAGGTCCTGGGTGAAAGCCCCTCAACCTTGGGGTCCAGCTCTGCCTCTGCTCCCGGCCCACTGGAGCAGGCTGCTGAGGCTGAGAAACCCCAAGGTTGACAAGTAAAAAGGCACAGTCCCAATGTTACCAAACCACACGGTAGACCATTAACTTAAGTCCATTGTAAATCCCAAGGTAGGCAGAGCATAGCAGACTGCTGAGCAACGACATGGCTGCATGCAATGTCCAAGCGTACCATAAGCTAGAGACCATTCTCAAGGCTTCTCCTTATATACGGGAAGCAGACCATATCCCAAAGGCAGCTACTCAGCTGCTCATAGTAGATTCCACCATGAAGTTGATTACCAGTTTCATCATGGGGAATACTACATCCAGCTGCCCAGCCACTCAACCAGGCCCAGCCAAGTTGACAGAAAAACATCATTACCACAGCTGTGATCAAGCTGATGATATCCCTACCCTCCTGGAGCTTACATTTTAGTGAAGGGAAACAGACCAGAACATGCAAATAATTAGATCCTCTCAGGTACTTCTGAAAACTATAAAGGGGTTGAAGTAGAGCATGGGGAGAGAAAATAACTGAGGGTGACCTGGGAAGTCACTCAGAGGGTGACCTGGGAAGTCACTCAGATGAGGTGACCTCTGAGGTGAGAGCGAAGAGTAAGAGGCAGCCTGGGAAAATCTAGAAGAATATTTCATGCAGAAGAAAAAAGTGCAAAGGCCCTGGGATAGGAAGACTCTCAGCATGATTAAGGGACTACACGAGGTCAGTGGGGCTGAATGTGGGAAGATGGCATAGGGAGAGGACTAGAGTAGGGGCTGGCAGGGGTCAGCGCATGGTGACCTTGGTGGTGCTGTGCTTCTTCGTAAGTTTAGTTGTGTTTCCTTCTCTCACTTTAAATGCAGGAAATCCCAGAAGAAAAAATTAGCACCCAGTATTCTGTCAAGTGGACGGGTTGGACAGGTTGGAAAATTCAAAAATGGCACATTGATTCTGAGTCCAATCGATATCAAGAAAGTAAATTCTTCCAGAGTGGCTAAGTGAAGTACTTAAAAACTGAAGAGAAGAATGGAAATGTGCCATGATGGTGAAACGGTTGTTACGAGACTCGAGGATGATTCTTACTTCATGTTTCATAGACTGTTTTTTCATGTTGAAAACAAAATCAAACAGAGGTAATTAGTCCCTCAAGTGCATTTTTTATGTTGGGCCAATTGCAGTGTGAGTATAAAGTAAGCCTGCTGAAAAATTTTTTTAAGTTTCCTTGTAAGTTTCACTCATTTTCACTGTTTTATGCATTTTCTTATACTTTATCATAATACTACTATTTTGTAAATAATAATAATTAACATTAAATTGCCTTTTAATTTTTCTTTAATGTTATATCACGAAATAACTAAATATAGTAACTTGTCGATTGTTTTCTAGAAAAAGCACTTTTCATTTTCAGTCTACCAGATAACGTAAAATCTGCTTTACAAGAAAACCAAACCAAATCCCTTGACATCAAGTCAGTTCTGACTCAGCAACCCTATAGGAGAGAGTAGAACTGCCCCATAGGGTTTCTGAGGCCATAAATCTTTATAGAAGCAGATTGCCTCATTGTTCTTCTGTGAAGTGGCTAGTAGGTTCAAACCGCCAATCTTTTGGTTAGCAGCTTAATGCCTTAACCACAGCACCACCAGAGCCCCTTTTAAAGGAAGCTATTTAAATAAAGTATAATTTTTATGGTATAATGATTGTGACTATTAAGTAACACAACTGATAATTTTAGCTCATATCCTAGGACTTATGTTCAAGGATATGTTGTCACCTTCAAAGCAGTCACCTTGAGAAGCTTTATGTAGATTTTTAATGGTATAAGCATACCTCATTTTATTGAGGTTCGCTTTCTTGCAGTTCGCAGATACAGAGTTTTTTACAAATTGACGGTTTGTGGCAACCCTGCAGTGAGGAAGTCTTTCGATGCCATTTTTCCAATAGCTTATTTCATGTCTTTGTTTACTTTTTGGTAAATTTTCATGGTATTTTAAACTTTTCATAATGTCAACGCATATGTAATAGACTACAGTATAGTGTAAACAAGTTTTATATGCATTAAAAAAACCCACTGCCATTGAGTTGATTCTAACTCATCGTGATTCCCACTGGGGTTTCAGGCTGTAAATCTTTACAGAAGTAGATTGCCTCATTTTTCTTTTGCAGAGCAGCTGGTGGGTTTGAACCACTGACCTTCTGGTTACAGACAAATGTCTTACCCACTACACCACCAGAGGTCATTTTATATGCACTAGGAAACCAAAAAAGTGTGGCTTGCTTTCATGTTGTGGTCTGGAACTGAACCTGCAGTATCTTCATGAAATATGCCTGTGTTGCCCTTGCTCAAAGCAAAAAAAATACAAGTCTACAGTGATGATAATCTGTTTTGTCTTTTTTTTTAATTGCTAAAAATTACATTTAAGCTTAGTAAATAAACAGTAAATAAACAGGGTAAAAAATTAGATATTAATGACTCACTTTATTATGTTACTTATAAATGACACTGAGGACATTGCCAAATGAGGAACTCAAAAAATGTTTTGAAGAATATAAGCAAAATTGGAATGAATGTTTTGTGTTCCTGGGTGTGAAAGGCAGCATTCATTAGGACATATATTTTGGTATTTTTTTTTTTTTAAATTGATTTTACTTTAATGATACATGAAAGAATTCCGGGGGAGGGTGGGCTTCTAGCCAAGACCAGACAGGTGCGTATGGGGGAAAGAGGGCACAAGGCCCCATGGGAAAGCCAGGGAAGCCCCTCACCCTCACCCAGAAGGCCCTGCACTCCAACCCAGACCCGGGTCAGCATCTGGAGCTGTGTGGATTTCCCGCCGTTTCCGGCCACGCGCTGTGCACTGAGGAAAGGCAAAGCTGTTGTGGACTCCCTGGCAGCCATGCCGTTCCCCCGTGCGGGCCCCTGGCCTTGGAGCAGCCCTGCTATGGTGCTGACTCCAACTGGAGCATCCAACAGAGCAGACCAGAAACCTTGGACACCGTGGTCATCGTTCTGTACGTCTTGGCTGTCAGACTGTGGATGCGTCTGGGACTGTGGGTGTATCGGGCAGCAGGGGTGGGCGGGGCCAGAGCCTCCCACGTCACGAGGAAGAGTCCCCCTTCCGCACTACACCCTTCCCCGCACATCCCTACCCCCACCTCCGTCACCCCACAAACCCCTCCCATCACACAGCCCTCCTCCCACACACCCCTCCTGTCACACACTCCTATCCCCCACACCCTCCCGTCGCACACAAACCCTCGCACCACACACACCCTACCCACCAACACCCCCTTCCCGTCACACACACCCCCTCTGTCACACACACTTCTTACCTACACACCCCCTCCCATCACACACACACACCTCCCACT